ATTGGCCATGACAGACAGAGTGAGAAGCCCGCTTCCTGAATGATCTAACTTGTGTCGACAGTTGTGAAAAAACCCATCTAAATTAGGATAAAGTTAAAAAGGAGGTCAGCTCATCTAATGGTAATATCCCCCCCCCCCCCAGAGAGCAGTATCTTTGGTGCTCGTCTGACTATTTACTCCTTTACAAGTCAGTTGGGTATGTCACAAGACCCAAAGGACTTGCCAAAACAATCCTACAAAGAAAGAGAAAGAGAGGAAGGCAGAGCAGGCAGGAGATGGGAGGACATTGGACAACATCACAGAGTGGACAGGGAAGACAATGGGTGACAATCTGAGGAAAACAGAGGACAAAGAGAAATGGCGAGAGCGGGCTGTCAGTGTCAGAAGCAGTGGTGCCCCCACGACGGTTGCCTCAGTCGAATTCTAGTCCACCAGAGTCTGTGGTGTAGTGTAACAGTTAGGCGCTTTGCTGACGTACGCTGGAGACACGAGTTCAACTCTTGAGTGGGTAGAATTTTTTATTCTGTCAGTACCTCGGTCTTCCTGATGGGATGTTGTACACCTTCCACAGTACAGGTTGGCACTGACAGTTGACAGGCAGCGTTGGAATTGGAAGCCTGCCTCAGTGATGATCTAAACGGTGTCGATTTTATAATTTTAAATTAATATTAACCCTCTTCTTACGCCCTGGAGTCATTTTGTAACCCCGGGGCTGTATCTTTCACATTTTAGAATACTTCGAGTACGAAGATCTCTTCGAAACTTTCAGTACTTTAAAAAAAATCATTTTGACAGACTGCTATGCAAGGCGCTCGGATCGGAATTAAACGAGTAAATTTCCTCTTTGGAAAGGGGTGGCACAGAGTTCCCCACGTCGAATGGATACGATAGTAAAACAAGACCCACGAATAGGGTTAATTAATTAATTTATTAATTAATTTTTTTTTTGGGGGGTGGTGTTTGAAACCTTATTTAAATTTAAAAGCAATAATTACAGTAGAGTCTATTCAAACGGTCATCTATTCCAAACAATCACCTGTATAAATGAACACCTCTCGCCTACCTTTCGCGTAAAATTAGCGAGAAAATGGCCGTCAAAGTCTGGTGACTTCCATCATAACTCGAGACTCTTTAGAAACTTACAAATGCACACTTTTTGTTGCTTTTTTTTTTATCAACTATTCTTTTTTCAGTAGAATTCACACACAATTATGTTTTAGATAGACGTAAAAGGTGTTTAGCCAACCCACTCCCCCCCCCCCCAAAAAAAAAAGGGGGGGAAATAAAAAAAAAAATAAAAAGAAGAAGAAGAAGAGAGACACAAAATTATGGTCTGGGGGAAAAGGGGGGGGGGATTAAAAAAAAAATCGATTAAAACAATTGCCAAACGAGCAGGAAAATACTGATTTCTTCGATTTCATAATTTTCACGAGCACCTTATTTCACAATATGATATATGCCATACCACCCCCCTCCACCCCCACCCCCAAACAAAACAAAAAACAACCCATAGTCCCAGACAAAATCATGTATTTGCAGTCTCTTTTGCAACACGATTAGTGAATGTCACGTTCTGTTTCCTAGTTTCTAATTTGTTAGCCTTGCTTTACAATCGGTACGATTTGAAATAATTAGCTAGACTGCTTTTTAGTCACGAAGGGGAAAAACCCATAAGTGAGGCAGCGTGGTGGAATCAGGCTCTCGTTAATTTTTGGGCATGTAGAGTTATTGGCATCATTTTAAAGCTTGTTCACTTGTCTTTATTTTGATTTTTTTAAAAATCCAATTATCCTGAATACAAGTCGAGATATTTGCGAAAGACGGAGGTAGGGGTCACCTGTTTCAGAGGTAGAAATTAGAGAAAAAATGGCAGTCAAAGATTAGTTATTTCCTTAGCTTAAGAATCCATGGTAACTGAAAATTTACATTTTTTAAAGCCTTTAATCAGCATTTTTCAGAAAAATTCACACAGAAATGAGTTCTTTAATGGGCATGAAAGGTGTTGAGCCAAAAAACAAAAATTCGATAAAAAAATTCACAAACCTGCGGAAAAATGCAAGTTTCTTCATTTTGATTATTTTGACGAGAGCCTGATTCCACCACGCTGTCTCACAATTTATTATTATAATAAAATGACAAACTAGCAGTTACGCGCAAGCTTTGTTCCTCAGCAAAAGTATTTTGATTAGCTGCTTCATTTTTCTCGTGTGCTCTCGTGTGGTCAACTAATGCGGTTAATTGGTTTTGTTGATTGTTCGTGATTTTGCCCACTCGATCTCTACTCTCCTTCTCTCCATCTCTCTCCTCATCTCTCTCTTTCTCTGTCTCTGTCTGTCTGTCTGTCTGTCTGTCTGTCTGTCTGTCTGTCTGTCTGTCTGTCT